ACAATGTTGCAACTTTCTCCAGCTGTGTGGACCGGGAAAACTCCCCGCACACACCAGCTGCCCACGGCCCGGCAGCACCCCACCTGTCTCCCAAGAAGAGCCGAAACAGCTCCCATTCAGACACGGAGTCTCGCCTGTAGCTGCACAGTTACTGGCCATCTTAATGCTCAAGGCAGTGACAGCTGCCGAGACCGTCCTCAAAGTTTCCACACACCGGCGCAACATTTTCTTTCTCCTTCTCGGAATAATAACACGAGCGACACCCTGGATAGAGATTGCACTGGAAAAGGAGACAGACACCGATAAGCAACACGTCCACATTGTCCGAACAGCAGGCTGAAAACAAACACCGTTCCCACATTTCAACAGACTGCAAGCAGCCGCATCAGGGAGAAACTGGGAAGCCCGAGCCCCTACCGAAGCGCTCGCACAGAAGTACAGACCGCATCCTCGTTTAGTACAAACACTGGCCGTCGCTCAGGAGAAAAAAGACAGTTAAACATTCTCTACCTTTGAAAAAAGATAGTCGATCTCGTCCGTGAATCCAGGAACTCGGCGAACGGGGTAAAAAAAAAGTTTGTTGCACAGCGTTTCCGCCACAAATCCCCACAACCACCAGACTCCGGACTCGACTGAACAATAACCGAGAGACAGCGACGCTCTCCTCCAGACACCGCCCACACTGCCTCGGCCCGCCCACGGCTCGGAATCCGTGCGCCCATTGGGCGTTAGGGCAGTAAGGGTGTGTCCCAGCGCTAGATGAGTGGCAGGAACGTGGCCAATCGCTCTTAAGATAAAACCAGCGGAGCGCTCAGTCTTGATGTCAATCATCTCTGCTCAATAAAGACCCGCCCTTCAAAGCTTTTCATTGGTTGCTGGCGTGTGGGGGCGTGCACGGGGGGGCGTGTGTTACACAAGGCGTTGTCACCTCTCTCCACAATGCCCCGCCCCCTCGTGTTTTTCTCTCGTGAGATCAGGATACCTAGCAAAGGTAAAGTGGAAATGAGCCACACCTGTGTGACGTGATGAAACTGTGCCCAGACAGGTAGTGAGTCACAGGCCTGCTGGTAAATGAACACAGTCTCAACGCCATTAGTACTGCCCCTTGTTATCACGAACAGAAATAGACTTACGACCTATGAACACTTCAATATGACCTTTATCCGCTTGTGTTGACCAGAAACTTTGAGGTCGTGTTTTCTGCCCCGTGCTGAAGAGAGATGAAACTCGTGCTCCCAGCAAAGCCAGTCCCCAGGGCTCGCGCTGGGACTGCGGCTCCGGGATCGAGGGCAAAAGCAACGTATTGAGCTTTTTGCTTAAATGAGGAAGAACTGCTAGAAATGAA